CACAATATTAGCATAATTACTTCCTTTTTAAAATTTGAATTTGCCTTAAGCACTAGTAATGCAATTAATGTGTTTATTTAATGCAATGAAAAATGTATTATTTTAAATATTTTTAATATATATATATATTTTTTTATCTGAATAAAAAATGCTAAATACTGGAGGATTATTATTCTTGTCAGACTTTTCTTTTGATCTTATAAATCTGTCCATTATATGTATTATATGTATGAAATTAAATGTGTAGCTGCACAAGGAAAATATTTTTTAAATTCAAAATTAAGCTTATTTAGTATCTTCTTTTATGCCTTCTTCCTGTTTTCTTTAGGAGCTTTTTATTAACTATAACTCAAATCACAGGCAAACTGAATTCTTATATTAAGCACCTTCCTTCTTTCCCTCAATTCGCTTAATACCTTCGCCACAGCATGATGCTGCCGCCACTATATTTGACTATGGGGGATGGTATTGATGGGAAGTGTTGGTTTTGTGCCAAACATAGCTTTTCCTTAGTGGCTGAAATATCTGATTATCATACCAGATTCCCTTCCACCATACATGTGAGGAGTAAATGTGCCTTTTTATTTTTTTAGTAGTAAGTACAGTAATGGCTTTTTTCTGTCCCCTCTTGCATAAAGTCCTAGCCTATGGAGTATCCAGCTTATTGTGATCTTATGTGCAGATATTCACTCTCTGCTATGGAGTTCTGCAGATCCTTCAGGGATCTGCCCTGCCTTTCTGATTAATGCCCTACTTCCCTGGTCTGTGAGTTTGGTTTGCAGCTCTCTCTTGGCAAGTTCGTTGCGGTACCATGTGCTTTCCCTTTAACGATGATGGATTTGGCTGTGTTTTGGGACAACATCAAAGTTAGCATTTTATTTACAACACCGCCCAGATTTGTACTTGTTAAAACTTCGACTTGTTTTGAAAATTCCCTGATATTCACGAAGTGATGCCTGTTGGTTAGTGGGCTTGTAGTTTCAGAAACAGTGCTTCTGGGGACTTTCAGAAAAGTTGTGTTAATGGTCTGTCATTTGACACTTAGATTGCACACTCTTTTTTAATGTTTTGTTCTCGTAAAGCTCTTTGTTATTTCAATGTCTTTGAAAAGTTCTATAAATATAAATAAATAAAATACATTTAATTTCCCTAATGATGTTACTCTTTAAGGTTATGTGTTACACCAGAGACTGGTTTTAAAGTAAGGGAAGGACTTTTCTATTTTCTTTACTATTTTTTGTTTGATTTATGTCTACAGTATTTTTCTAATTTTACTTCACCAACTTGGTCTATTTTGTGCAGATCCTTTAGATAAAATAAAATTAAAAGCCATCCAAAATACAAAGTTAAATGTAACACAATAATTATAAAGCCCAAAAGAGTAAAAACCTTTGAAAGGCAAGGATATTTAAAAAAATATTTAAGCAATTTTCTTTCAATGGGTCATTGAGTTTTATTTAGCTGGACTGATGGCAAACACTACTTTTTGAACTGTTGATGTTGCAGACCACTGCTCTAACAATGAGTAAGGTTTTTCTCCTGCTGCAAGCTGTATCTAAAATTTATTTAACTTTATTACAAAATGAATTTAAATTCCAGGTTGCATAGTAATCTAAAAAAAAATAATAGGTAGACATTTTAGGACAGGTTCAGAATGCTGCTGGGGAAAGGTACAAAATGTTCCCACATGTTGGCAGATATCAGAGATTTTTCTCTTGATAACCACAGTTTCATTTGTCACAATTGTTTTTGCAGAAATAATCACTCAACCGAAAGATAAAAGAACTCTCAGTACTCAATTAAAATAAAATAAAAAAGCTAACGTCAGAGCTCAGGAACAGTCAGCCTTGTTTTCGTTAAAAAACCCTTCAGCCTTTTGAAATGAAAGCTGGCACACAGCATTTAATTGACAGAAATATGTTGCTCATGGTTTCCAGCAGAACAACTTTTACATGCCATGAAATCCAACCCGGTACGAACTGTTCACAGAAAACAGATTACATGACTCACCGAAACCCATGTACTTTGGCTTCTATTTCAATGCACGCAAATGCATTGGAAACCCTAAACACTTTGTTCCAAATGAAAGCAGGAACTGTTAAGTAAATTTGCAACCCATCTGCAGAAACTGAGAAACAAACAAACAAACAAACAAAAAACAACAACAACGGCCATATCAGCCCTTTTCTTTACAAGCTCAAATATCTATTATGCATTCTCAAAATAAAACTTCTTGGAGATTTAACTTCCCTGTAAGTCACCAAAACTAATATTCAGCGGTCTATCCACTGCCTCTGAGAGACGTCTCTCATTTGGGGGGCATTGTGGTGAAGAGTGGCTGATCCCTGTCAATAGCCTTAGTCAAAGGAACAACATTGTGTAATTCTTTAGTATTTTTTGGTTTAATCTCAGAAACAGCATGTATGATGTCAAACACTCATGATGAATGGCTCAGGGATCTGGAGGGCCAGTCAATAGAGATAATCTGGATGGTCTGGAATGTTTGGAGTCAATGTCTTTATAAAAAACACAAACCTAAGGGAAATTTCTCTTCCGCATGACCTTATCAAGTGTTAGTATGAAATCAATTGTACTCGGCATGCAATAAATTATTACAAAACCAATGGTTCACAAAACATGAAGAAATTGTGGGGTAACACTAACAAGTGTCATGATCTTGGTGCTAATGACTGTCTTGGTTGCTCATTCCGTTCACCCATCTAACTCAGTCCGGTCGCTCATTGCCGCTCATCTGGTCCACCTGCCTCTATTTGTCTATCTTGCTCTCTCTAGCCAGTGATGACAGCATTTTTAGAGTTCCTTTGTGTTTCTGGTTTCCTGATCATGATCTATTCTGCCTCTCAACCACTGAGCCTGCCTGTTCCCATCTGAATAGTTTGCCTGACCTAGCTTCGGACTCCTGCATGTTTTCTGGGACTGCAGTATCTGGGACACACTGTGGGCTCCTGCCGCATCTTGTTGGCATCCACCAGCTGGATCCTACCTCTTTCTCTCTGCATGGACTGAACTTTTAAACCTAGTTTGAGACTCACGTTCATAATCTACCTCCATTAGATTTGCATGTTCACTAACCTGTGTTTCCTTTTACAGATATTTGCCCTAGCTGCTGCAGCTGCTGAAGCACAGACCCGTTTTTAAATAAACGCTATTGAATTATCCACTGTCTGTCTTGCTTCGAATACTGGGTCCACTGTTCTGAGTCACAACAAGTGTTAATTAATAATTGATCAAATTCACATTTTACAATCTAAACACATTTATAATGTAGATTTTTACTTGAATTTCACTCAAGGCACACAAGTCAACTGATACATATAGGGAAATTGAATTATCTCAAAAAAGTGAATAGCCAATAAGATCCCCTCAATGATGAATCTTTTCATTGTTAATCTGTGTGGGATTAGTAAATGTTGTATTTGTTTAGTAAAAGTTCATTAAAGAATCATATTGGTGTTTTTGTTGCACCTGGATCTCATTAAAACCAGTGCAGTTCCAAAAAATACAGCACTTAAATACTTCAAGCCTGGACTAATTAGTTCTACACCAATAGTCTTTTTCAGGATGTGCAGGTCAGTACAAATGGTCCCATGTTGCCCAAAAAAACCCTCCATCTGCAAGTTAAAGTGCACCATGTCTTAACCCTGACCCTTTGATCTTAGGTTGGTCAAATAGGTCAAAGGTCACTCTGGGAATGACTAAAGAGAAAGTGATAGGGTCACTAATGGAGCTTATCTGCTTTTTTACTCCAGCATGCTGCACTAGAAGGTCATTTGGGAGCTCACTCTCCTCTGGGCTCTTGTAAGTGGACAGAAGTTTTTTTTTTTTGTTGTTTGTTTTTTTTTACAGTGTACTGTCTGGCAATTGGCAATAAGAATAATTGCCTTCATGCCAAAAAGAGAGCCCAAAAGATTTTGCTTTTACAAGTGAAACAGTATGGCTATCGCCAGTGTTCCGCTTGATTTATGCATATAAATAGCTTTATTTTAATTCATGCAGGAAGTATTACAGATTGTATGGACACTGCAATGTAAGTAGAACAGGAAAGGAAAAAAAGAGAAAAGATAAAAGAAAGAGAAGATAAAAGGGGAGATAAAAAGGAGATAATGATAAAACATCTTCAGTCTGCTTCATCACCTGCAAAGAGATGTAAAAAGAACAACAAAACCAACGGATATAGTATAAGAGATACAATAAAGTAACACCTTGATACTATCACTGAAGTATAAGTAGTATTATTTAATCTGACAACGCGCCTTCTGTACAGAAGTGAATCTCTAAGTACCTGGAACCAAGCACCTGTAGTCATATGTGAAAGTGCACTTATGCATGTAAAGTTTATCCATAGGAAAAATGCTCAATAGTGGTTGTGAAGTGCTGAAGAAGCGCCCCTTCAGACCACCGAGGCAAGCACCCAGATGCTCAAAGGGATCCCAAGAGCAGGAGCCCAGGAAGGGCCAAACCAGAAAATCTGACCTCCACCAAGGGAGGAAGAGAGACGGTCCCGAGGAAAACCGTCAGCCGCCGCAACACTGGAGCCCCCGGGAGCCATGGCGATGAGTCGTCGGGCTCCGCTGGCAGCCAGCCACCCCGAAGTGGATCGGGCGTGGCCCTGCGGAGCATCTGCAAGGAACAAGCCAGTGCCTTCATGGGCATCCACCCCCAAATGCAGAGCACCAACAGTGTACCGGCAAGCCCCACCGCT